TTTTTCCCCCCTTCATTCTTTCTCCTTTTTTCTTGTAGAGGTACTACAATGGTGGTCATTCCTCTGAATTTCTCAACAAATAAAATCCTTGTCAACTCTCCGTGTATGTGCGTGAAATCGCCTGCCCGGGAGCCGGGAGTCGTCGTTAGGGAAAGTCCCAGGACCGGGGACACTGCCATGGAGCCACTACCGGTTCCCAGCGCGGGTTTCTGAGGCTGTAACTGCGTGGAGGCAGCCTCACCTTTCTCCCACTGAGTGGCCTGTGGGCTCCAGCTGCCATCCTGGCAGTGAGCGGCCCGGTGCTCGGCCAGCTCACTGCGCAGGGTCCTCTAAGGGCTGGGGCGTCCCCCTCGGTGGCCCTGCCCTGGTCTTCCTGTCAGTGAGTCAGGGAACACCGCAGGACATTCTCCAAGTGGCTGTGAGCTTCATGCTGCCCGCAGTTCACCTGCAAGGTCGCTCTGAGTCGGAATCGATGTGGTGGCGGTGGGTTTTTGGTTTGCTCGGTCCAGTCGCCGTGAGTTGGGATCAACTTGATAGGACAGTGCATCCCACTGGTGGAAGTGTCCTGATCAAGGAACCTTTGCACCGGGGAAGCCATTTCTCTGGGGGAACATTTAGAACAGCCCCCCAGTGCGAAAAGGAAACCACCAGTCGAGTGAATCCTGATTCAGTGGCAGCCCCAGGATCCGTGGAGGAGAAAAGCCCCTGCGTGGCCAGCGTTTCAGGGTTCAGACTTCATGTCTTCCGTTCGTACACACAGAGCAGGAAGAACTGGAGATTACAGAACATGCTGTGTGTCAGGGTGTGGCACCCCAGCGGACAACACTCACAACGGTGGACAGCAGACCTGGAACTGTTAGAGGGCTTTTTAGTTTTTGCTGTTGGTTTTTATTTCTTTGTTTTGTATTAGCTGTTGTTGATTTATTTTTTGTCTTCTTTTTTTGTTACGTTTTGCTTTGCTTTGCTTTGTTTTGACACGTCTTATTGTCTATCTGGACAAGAAAGGTGGGATGAATAATCCAGAGGAGAGAATGGGACTGACAGTTCCAGTGGGGGCATGGTAGAGGGAGAGATGGGGACAAAGGAAGGGGGTGCCAACAAACCCAGGGACAAGGGAAGAATACGTGATTAAAATTGATGGTGAGGAAGGCATGGGATGCTTGGAGGAGTTGGGGGGCTCAATCAAGGGCAACATAGCCGAGAGGAGTTACCAAAACCCGAATGAAGGCCGAACATGATAGTGGGATGGGAAGAAAGTAAAAGGAAATAGAGGAGAGAACGGGGAGGCAAAGGACATTTGCAGAGGTCTAAATACAGGTATGTATCTATGTAAATACATTTATATACATTGACAGCAATAGATCTATGTACATATATTTCTTTATGAAGTATTACGGCAGCAGAT